AACATTAAAGTTAATAAAAATCACATTTAAAAAATAGTAAAAAAATTAAAATCCTGGAGGCAGGGCGCTTCTCACCGTGTGCCACCTGGGCCACTGCGGGAGGACAGGACGCCGGCACCTCTAGAACGCAATGGAATGCAAGCCGGCCGACTCCCTGCCTTCAGGGGCAGGAGGGGGCGTGAGGTTGTATTGAAGTCAGTGGCACCGCAGCCATGCCCCCCCCCGCCCCCGCCCACAGTGCGATCGCCTGCCTGCATTCCGGTCCATTGCAATCTGCAAAAATAGTGTTTGCTACATTTTTGCAGATCGCACTGGACCGGAACGCAGGCACTAATGTGCCTCCATTGTGGGTGCGGGCGATCGCACTGCGGGTGAGGGGCGTGGCTGCGGTGCCATTGACTTCAATGCACCACCATGCTCCCCAGGTGTTTTTCGTTGGTAGATCTCATTGAGCTTGTCATTTGAAAAGTAGATCTCCGAACGAAAATTTGTGGGCGCCCCTGGATTAGAGGCTGCGACAGCTCTTGCCTCACCAAGTTAGGTAGTTAGGTTACACAGCAGCAGGCTTCCCCACTGCTTGTGTAACCTGTCTGAAAGCAGCGCTCAGTCCATGACAGGTTACACAGTGGGGAGGATTTCCCTGCTGTGTAACCGGTAACAAGCAGCACTGAATGGAGAAAAAGCCGTCAGCTTCAGACTTAAAGCCAACAGCTTTTTCCTGCATAATACTAGGTGAGGCTCTGACTCACCTGCCTCCCCTGACCGCACATCCCTGCACTCTACATCACTGAGACATTTGAAGGTGTACCTGTTTGTACAATTGTACGGTTCTGACCCAGTCCACAAATTGGCTACAACTTCTCTGCAAGTACCCATAGCCTTCTGCCAGGATGAAGTCAGTGAAGAGCTTATTAATTGATGGCAGTCTCCCCGGTAGCCGGCAGCGTAACAAGGTGCTGATCGAGGCTCATGGTGGAGGGCCCGGTGAACAATGCAGGACCTTGGCACTCTTATTTGGATTCACTCCATTGCCTTACTATATTTAACGGAGAAAAACAATGCTGAGCTGGGAGACGCCATGAGCCTCTCGCCACCAGAACAATGGTGTGCCGCTCTCCTGTTAAGTGGAAAAGAAACTTAAGTGCTTAGGAGGGAAACTCCGTTTCCATTTGTGACCCAGATTCCATTCTGTACAGAGCCGCTTTCATGTGTCAGACAAGCTGTGCCATGAATATTTCAGAGAGGATGGACGGGGCTCGGGGACCTTGGCCTGGAGTATAAAGTACCTGTCATAGCCTGTACAGGTCCTGAAGCGGGAACGCAAAGACTATTTTGCAATACGAGATGTCCAAGTAGCCCTAGAAATAGTTTGCAACCTAGGAGTCAGGAGCCAGAGACTGGCAGCTTCCCTCGGATGTTTCTAGCAAAAGGTATTTTGCTTTGTCTGCAGTTCAAAGGGTATCCGTCATAAAGCAGAATGGTGAATTTGTTTAAGTGATGAGCAGAGAGTGCAGACATACTAGAGGTACAGAGAGTGCAGACATACTAGAGGTACAGAGAGTGCAGACATACTAGAGGTACAGAGAGTGCAGACATACTAGAGGTACAGAGAGTGCAGACATACTAGAGGTACAGAGAGTGCAGACATACTAGAGGTACAGAGAGTG